TTCGTGGTCTTCTTGTCGGCGAGCTTTGAGGTGAAGCCGATCGTCTTCTGTTTTGACGTTGATGTTCTGCATGGTGCTCCATAGTGTGCATTTTGGACTCAGCCACATTTCATCAGGTGCTTCTTCATCAGCTAGCTGCAGGAAGGCACGACGGTCGGCTGCTTTGTTGAAGTTCCAGCCATCTTCAAGTCCAAATCGTCGAACTTTGGCACCAAGTCTTTGACATTCTTTGGTGACATTGCCACGTCCAACATAGACTTCCCAGACCACTGGCTGTCGGTCAGGTTGGTGATCACGGGCATGGAGGATTTCACGTTGTAGCCGTCTTTCTTCCTTGCAGATCTGTTCCAGCACCATGTTCCAAAAACCGCGAAGTGACTCTTGGTTCTTTTCTTTCTCACCTTCTTGAGGAGGTGATTCCAGGTCTTCAGCCGTAAAGACCGTGGAGGGCTTGAAGGTCTTCTCCAGGTTGCTCTTGATGCAACTGAAGCGACTCTGGGCCTTCATGTCTTCAATGAAGTCGTCGAAGCGAAGGATCTCATGGTGGTCATCCTCAGTTCGAAGGTCGAACTGGTGGTTGTTGAACTGCATTGGACCAGCTTCCTTGCGAGCTAGCCTCATGAGCATGGTGTTTTGGCGTCCTTTCTCGATTGGAAGCCAATCACTGCCGAGGATTTGCATCTTGTAGGCTCCGAAGTCGACAACTGCTTGAAGCCTTTCCATCACTGGTCTCCCAAGGAGGGGAGGTGTGGCTCCGAAGATGATGTAGGCCTGAATGAAGCCTGCCTTGCCGTTGATGTAGGTGGGCACTGACAAAAGCCATCTTGCGTGACCACTGGCGTCTCCGCCAAACTTGAAGTGTTTGCTGCACTTCTTGAACTCCAGTCGTGAGAGATCGACGCCAAGGAGCTGCAACCAAGCCATGTAGCGAAGGATGTACTCCGTGCCGATCAGGAAGCTAGATGCTCCTTGATCCTGAATTGCCATTTCTGGAGGGACCAACCATTCATGCTCAGACACGAGGACATCTGAGCTGCTGTAGGCATCTTCGCATTCGAAGAACTCTTCACAGTCATAGAACTCGACTTGGACTGTGTCATTCACAAGAGTCATGACATTCTCATGAGGGGTGGCATTCTCACAAACCACGACATTCTCAGAGGCGGTGGCATTCTCACAAGCCATGACATTCTTTGGAGAGGTGTCATTCTCACAGGCCATGACATTCTCAAAAAGAACCATGCCAGTGAGGAGAGGATCTGATTCCTCCAATGTTCTCTTCTTTGCTGAGGTCGAGGTCGTGCTAGAGCTTGCTGCCTTGCATTGCGAGGCGAAGTGTCCAGGCTTGCCACATCGGTGACACACCATTGCATCACGTGCACGAGCTTTTCCTTGTGGTCCTTTTCCTTGTGGTGCTTTGGACTTTGATTTTCCCTTTTTCCCACGTCCTTTCGGACTCTTTCCACCTGAACTGCTGTTGGCGTTGGCCATGACGGGGAGCTGGTTCTTGTCGACCATAGCAACCACTGGATAGAAACCACGTGAGCGCTTGAGTTCAAGCACCCGTTGTTTGGCATCAGTGTAAGCTGCCATTGCCATGTCATACTCTTCGGTGTCGAAGATCGTGTCCTCATCGGTGTGATGGAGGTATGCCAAATCTTCTGGGTCATCAACGAGGTCGTACTCCTGGTCATACCATTCATCAGCTTCATAAAAAGCATCTTCATCGGGCTCATAGTCTTCTGTCCAGTCATCCTGTTCCCAAAGCTCATCGTCCTCAGCCATGTGGATGAGTTGGCGGGATTTCCATCGTCCTTGGAAGCTTTGGTTCTGAGCTCGTCGGACTGCAGGTTGGTGGACATGCTTGTAGTCTTGTCCGAGGATCATGTACATGGACTTCTCGATGTTGTTGAGGGACATGTCGGTGCCGGTCTGTGTGTAGATCAATTGTTGTTGATCTTTGCTCAAGCCAGCTTTTCTCAACAACAGCCAACCAGCGACCTGCTCGGGGAGCGATATCTTGTACTTTTGAAGTTCTCGAAGGGACTGCTGGTGCTTAGTGCAGAACTCGAGGAGCGACTGCCCAACTCGACGTTGCGTCTTGTAGAAGTACTTCTCGAATGCGTCGGGCATTTCAACCCGATCATCATACTGCCATTGGGCGTCCAGCCTCTGCAAAATGCTCTTGAGGCCATCGTCCTTCTCGAGGGCGTCGAGGTCCAAGTCCTCGCATTGGCGCCAGCTTGCACCTTCCAAGATCGACAGGACTGACAGACCTGTCTCATTTGCTCTTCCTTGGATCGCCTGGCGGCGGGCGAACAGCAGGATCCTCTTGCGCCACTCTCGGTAGCCGGTCATCGTGTTGTCGAAGCGCGGGATGTAGCTTCTTTCATCTTTTCCCAGGGTGGCCTTCTCGGCCGGCTCTTTCGCTTGCGAGCTTCCCTTCGGGGATCGAGACATGGCGACGGGCGGATCCGGAGCTGCTCTTTGGCAGCTCCGCTACCAATGTGAAAACACGGGAACACGAAAGGAGGTCAAACCGAGTTCACCGTCGATGCGGAACGCTCTAAGTTTCCGTCTGCAGTAAGGGGACCTTTTCTCTTCAAGGCCTAGTACGGGCGGCCACGTCATGTGGCTCAAGCGCGCTGGACAAGGGCGGCGCGGCGAGTGCGAAACTCGAACGCAGTCATCCACAAATGACTTCAACTCATGTCTATTGCTCGAAATTCACATTAAATGTTAGTGATGCAACAAATGCAAGGTGACTATGTAGTGCATCACTAGCATCACCACAATACTAGAATAGACCAAATACACCCTTTAGGTTACAGATGTGTCTTGGATTGGGTGACAATCGGCTCAAATGTGTTTGTTCACAAGTCACCTGCTGGTTCCTCCTGGCTTTCGTTTGCCCCTTCTCAGGTTGCCAAAGGCGCGGTTGTTTAGGCCAAGACCTGGCGATCAATCCATTAAGCTTAGTCCTTTTAAGAGCTACACCATTTATGTTTTTAGCAAGGGATACTCCAGGGCCCCTAAGTGTTGCACATGTTTGCTTTTCTAATGGTATTCAGCCCGTGAAGGTCTTGCTTTGGGCCTTTGGGATTTTAAGCCTCTGTAGATGTAGAGAAGCCTTGGTACAGGAGCCAGCGCCTGATTGATCTATCTCGATCACGCAATGTTTGTCCTAGGACATACCACTGGACCATGACTTACCCATACTCATATAACCAATTAGAATAGATAAATGTATGGGTCTCACCCATCCGAATTCATGCGGAGTCCATTTGCAAGCAACCAGTTGTGCACAGAGAATTTGATGCTTTGAGATTTTCAGCCGACCCTGCCGATTCCCCGACCAGATCTGGGCTCCGTACCCCTCAGCCGATTCCCCGCACGAGAAGACTGCGATGCCGTCGTCACTGATGTCGCGCCTCAAAAGGAAGATCGAAGAGCAAGCAACGACGGTCCAAGCGAAAATAGAAATTGACCACCACCCCCAGTACCTTCTCTAGCAGTTCCCGTGATCCTTGTGGGATGTTAATCCAAATGGTTTCCACCAATGTTCCTCTGTCCATCCCATCTGCACATATCGAAGTCCTTCAAGCCCAACCACGGAATCCCCCCAAACCCACCAGGCTGACGGGCTTCATGATGGCATTCACGATGGCCGCCACGACCCCTGCACCCAGGACAGTACCTCCACGGCATGGGAAGTCAAATGCAGGATTTCCTCAAATCTTAAATCTTACTGAGTTATCAGGTCAGGTGGCCACCCTCACCTGGGCATCAGTAAACAAAGTTCCAAATGCGTCAAATCAACGGCAAGATGAGATCGAGTGAACAACCACAGGGCGCAGGCTATAGCTTGCGCCGTCCCGATCTCAATGCCATTACTCCTGCCGGCCGCAAGGCCAAGTGCTGCTAGAGACCATTGCAGCAGAAGCTTTTGACTTGATTAATATTATAATAAATAAGTGTCTCTGCTTGTCATGGCAGAACATAAGCTCCCACAAAATTCATACTCATCACACCTCCAAACATGTTCGAAAGACTTCAATTGAGACAAAAAAAGACTATATGCAATTTTCCTCTCACCAGGCTCCAAAGGGCACCCCCCCGGCAGTCCTTCTAAAGAAGGCTAGACACTGGGTCGTTGCTTCCTTGGTCCCAGAGTCGCAGCTTACAGTGTCCCCAGGCGAGAAAGGTCTAGAAATACCCAGCTCAGCGAGCTGAGAAAGGGCATATCTAGGATGGATGAGGCCGATGATCATGCTGAATAAGGAGCTACCAGCTATAAGAGATCATGGCCGAGCTAATGATGTTACCTGGACCATCCAATCAGTAACTGTGACATACCTGAAAGAGTGGCAATCCATTGGAACAACCCGGACAGAATGGTCGTGGTGCCTGGAAGATTTCTCTATCTTCATCTAGCAAGAGGCGACCCTCAGTCGCTCCCTCCTGAGCAACTGCTAGTCAGCAAAGTAGTCCAAAGACCGGGGCTTGCACGTCCAGCGTGACGTACTTTGGGCTGGTCATGCCGCAATTCACGATGTATGGCCTCAGTGGAATTCCATGTGGTTCGTTGTGGAACCAGAGGTGACTTTGGGGGAGAAGACGGCCAACCGCAAGTTACTCCCCCTTGACGCTTCCAAAATGCTCGCTCAGGAGGTATGGTAACCAACCTTCCAGTCACCCAAGGTCACCTTCTGAGGGGAGGCACTTGGAGCCCTAAGGAAGTTGGGTGCTCCGACTGGACCAGTCTCTCACTGTGACTGTCGCTGGAGCATAGCTCCAAGCTGTGCTTCTGAGCTTTTCCGGCATCACACCAGACATCAAACAAACATCTCAGCTGGGATTTCCAACTCACAACACCCTGAGAGGTCTATGTCTATATATAAATATATATACACACACACACATATATATATATATATTCAGTCCTCAAAACGACGGTTGGCCAAAGCACAGAGATCCTCGCGGCCGCTGGGATTCCCAGGTCACCCAATCCCGGTCGCACCGCACTGTCGCGGGGTTCCCAGCCGGTCACTGCCGAAGAAGCTTCCGTCTCCCATCGGGGGGAGGAAAATGATCACATAGCAAAATCCTGGCGTCGGGACCTCTTCTTGGCCATCTGGAAACAGCATCCAACCTCGTGATTGCCTTGGTTACTGGTCCCTTGATCAACCTCAGGTTTGAGAAGCTGACTTAGAAGTAAAAGCACCTCATCTACAGACTCACAGTTGCCAATCAAGCACTGCCAGTCCTGCCACCAGCGCGGACATGTGTGCCACAGTGCCCACGGTGTCTTTCCCCGAGCCGCACACGCTTTGCACCTGGGGCGACGTCCGGCCATGGCCATGCATGTCCGCTTTGGGTTGACGCTTTCAGCTTCATCCATTGGACCCCCTGACGGTGGAGTTGGATCAGAAATCGAAACCGTCGATGGGCTCCGCTGTCGTACCTTCGTGAGCAGTTCGGTGAGACTGGGGGCCCGGGTGCCAGGAGGGTCCAAACACCTGAGGAGGTAGTGTTGGGGAAAGAGAAAGAGCTTATAGAAACTGTGCACCGCGGGTTGGACTCCTGAAATGAATTTAGGAGAAGGCCAACAAGACTGCAACATCAAGGGCCTCGCAAGACTGAACCATCCTGAAGCCAATATAGAATGTGATCCCAAAACGTGACCAGTTAGTTTCCTTTTGTCCTGTGGATTTGTCCCTATTCTATATAATTTATACTCCAGGACTATAAGGTCGTGGCACTCCGACAAGGACGAATGTGCGATTGTGAAGTGGCTGGGCATCCCTGCAATATCAATGACAATATGAAAAGCGATGATTCCAATACCTGGACGAAGGCAATGCATCACCACTGGGGTAGAGCGGCAACATGCGGTACTAGAGGTGGAAGGATAGCACGCATAGCGGCTTTGCCTCCAGTGTGTTTGTGTTCAAAAGAGGCCAAAAATGGTTACACCCTGGAAGAGACCCACATGGAATCTGAAAACAACTGGAACCTATGTCCACTGGAACCATTGGGTATGGAACCAATGGTTTATGTCCACGTGTCCAATGGTATGGAACCTCTTTGCAGTCTCTAACTGACCTTGTACAGACCTAAGTGACCTCATCCTGGGATATCAAAGGGTCACTTTGAAGATCCTGGGAGTTGTAAAGGAAAAGAACGTCTTCCGTTCGCCCGGTTCCATGCCGAACTCGCCCGGTGGAACCGGTTCGGGTCCCACACACCAGGTGTGACGACCAACTTCGACCAAGGACCCAACGACCCAACCGGATGCCCAGTCGACAACACCGGACGCATGTTGTCATGTCCAAAACGTCGACATGAAGTGTTTGGCCCGGCTGCCATTTTCGTGTGGACTTGAAGGCCCGAGCCCGAGCCGATCGCCCCCAGGGTAGACTGATCTCTTTCACGAAACGAAAAGGGGATCGTTGCCTCCATCGCGATGGCTTGGATCAGAACCCATCCTTCACCACCAGCTCTCGCACCGGTTTCTGTCAAGCCGAGCAATTCCACCGGTGCTGGGGAGGTGATCTCTGGAGAAGATCCCCAACCATGGAGAGATCCCCAACCAATGGGGTTCCCTCTCTTCGTTCTTCCGGTTCTTCTTCTGGGAGGGGTCTCTGAAGGCCCCCTAAAAAAGGCAGGTGGGGATCGTCCCTAAGGGTCCAGGACCATCCGTTCCTCGGATGTCCTGCCAGACCCCCAGGCAACGACCATTCTCAGGAAGTACGAACTCACCTCCGGCAACGACCATCCGAAGTACGGAGGTACCTGGACCCTGGAAATGTGGCCTGCCTAGCCTGACACTCCATGTATGCCATATATACCAAGACCCCCATTTGACCTCTGTTTTGACAGGAAAGACCATGTTTTGGCTCCAAAACAGGGGTCAATCAGGTTCTAGGTATGCCTACATAGGCTCATAGGGGTGGTTTTGGGGGTCAATCTAGGCATATATGGCAGTCTGAGTGTCTGGGCTAGGTTTGATCTGCGGCCCGGCGAATGAGTGTAATTGGCGCAGAAAGCAACCGTACTGGTACTGAGATGCTGCGGATGTGCATGAGATCTGGGTCTTTTTTCGAAATTCCATTCATCATGACATGCTTGCCATCGACCCCAGCTTTCAATCCACATCGACCCCCATCTAAATCCCACATCGACGCGCTCCCAGGCTCCAACGGACTGGCTTCACACATCGAGACCCCCAAAAACTCGCTGCTTCACCCAGGAGTCACAGAGCGAGTTGGGTGGTGTGGCTCCCTTCCGTGAGTGGAGGTGACAGGGGCACCCCTAACCTTCATGGACCGCACCCCTAAGTAACGTGACTGCTTCGTTCCGAAAAAAGTGGATCCAACACCCCCACCAATCACCGGCACAGGTTGAAGGAAAAGTCTTTCCAGTCTTCCAATCACCTTCACCGTCTTCCAGGGGTTGGCTGTCAAAACAGGCTGTAAAAACCTATAACAGGCTGTCTTCCAATCACCTTTGGAACAGGCTGTAAAGAAGGAAACAACCAACCCACGGAGCTCCGTGCATTCCGCTGCGCCGCCGTCCCTCTTCATGGTCTCGTCTTTGCGCAAAACAAATGGCAACAAACGAAAAACAAATGCATGGTGCTATATCGTATGACGCGCGTATGGCGCACGCATCCAGAAAAAGGCGCCGAACTCCGGGATCTTTAATTGTTGATCCAACCTACCAGCGAAGCGGCGGAACCGGAACAAGTGGCACCACAAGACGGGCGGCATGGGACGGTGGGAGTGATGTAGGGTATATATATAGTGAGGTAGAGTCGTGATCCGTTTTGGCAAGGAATGTAATTACCAGGGTTTGAGGAGATCTGGGGGAAGGCAATGGAAGGCATCAAAAGCCAAGATCGAAAACAAACAACTTGCATATATTCTGGGAGTCAAAGACGAAAAGAATGGTCTTTAGGTGACCCGAGTCTAGGAATTTCCTTTGATTCAGTCGGTCAAAACAGACAATATATAGTCCAAACATGACCAAACTGGACTTCTGGGGTATATGTATCATTGATCATTACATTCGACAAACTTTACACATGAAGTGCCCCAAACCTCTGAGTGCCCCAGACCCAGCACCCAAGAAGACGCCGTAGAGCGCGATGAGGGCGCCGTCCACGCCAAAGCAAACCGAGCTTGCCTTGGCCGGAGCAACTCAGCCAGGAGGACCCAAGTGACCTGAGATTGAGGACCAGGACCATAACCATACTGGGGCACCCCGTGAGATATAGTCATAGGCCGGGTTCTTCAACCAACCTCTGTTGGCATGGCAGGCTAGAGCCATTTTACGAAACGCTCGATCTCATTCTCATCCTGATTTCGTTTTGAAGCGAAGTTTCGAAAAAAAGCCATGTCTCCTCGGCTCTTGTGCTCGAGTCTATGGTGCTCAACCAACCAACGGCCAACCCTGAGTCCGATCCGATCCGCCTCCCGTGTGTCGGGGACGCGACACCTTCCCGCTCTCCGTGTGGCCCTGTCAGGGCTCCCCGCTCCCTGCACCAACGCTCCAAAGTTCTTCATCGTCCCAAGCCTGGGAGGGACCCAAAACCCGGATTCGATGTCAGAAGTGAAGGTCAGGGCACCAGGTATGACCAGGTGTGGAACATAGCTCCTGGACTCCTGTCCCGAGGTCCGGTCACATTTCGTTTTAAGATATCGATGACGGGGCCGAATGTACTGTCGATTTTCGTCTCCCAGTTCGGGTCGTACCTCCGTACGAAACGGTACCGGTCGTTGCCGTTGCGGTGAATTCGTACGAAACCAACGGGCCGAAGGACATCCAAGATGGCCGGAATGTTCCTGGAGCCTTTTTGTAGGGGTAATTACGAGTCTACATGACGGAGATGCCCCTGCAACATCATTTGGTGTCGCTTTTTCTCCTCGTGTCACTGGAAGACGCGATTCGCTTCATCGCGCTGCGGATCGGTTGGGACCTGCAGGCGTTGGGGGGGGTTGGGGGGACTTGTGAGGCCATCTGGAGCGAAACAAAGATCATGTTGGAGCCCAGCGGATCCAAGTGCCACTAATTATATAGGTAACAAGTCCAAAGACTCAAGCCATAGTACTAGAAACCTTGGGCCCTGGTTATTATAAAAAGTGGCGACTGGGATGCACTGGACCAGTAGGGATTCACAATAAACCTTCTCAGAATTGACCCTCCTGCTCCCGACCCTGGCACTGTATAAAAGTGACGAACACATCACCCTCAAAGACCCGAGGGTGGCAGTTTCCACCACCAACAACTGCGCGTTGCCACCACCAGTGACGACTCAACAGGTGAGACCTGGGCAACCAAACGTCGCAGCGTCATGAGGCTAGCCATGCTACTGACAGGACTTTGTTTTGGGGACCATCTTTGGGAACCATGGCAGATCATTACAAATCATCAGATTATGTCGACCACCTGGCTGAAGTTAGTAGATCCACTCTCAATCTAATGGAACAGCCAGACTCCCTCCATGGATCTCTATCAGTCAGAATCCATCACATCCCTGGCGCCTGCAGCCTCTCCACTCCCTTGGTGCCCCGAACAGTGCTCCAAAGGCCAACACCGTGGCCATAATGCCCACCACCTCGGGCAGCCCGAGCCGATTTCTCCGTTTGGCACGTCTGGGAGCCGAAAGACGTCCATGCGAACGGAACGAACCGTGGCGTTGAGAACACCCAGCACGACTGGGATGACAAAGCAACAGAGTGATCACTACATGTTGAAGTGCTTGAAGGAACAACGAAACAAACTAAACCCTTGGCCCAAGAAAAAGATAACATTACATTTACATGAAATTAAAACATCCGGGCCAAGAACACATGATTCTACATCAAGTAACCATCCAGCATCATCCAAGCTTGAGCTTGATAACTTCAAGGTTGTCCCGATCCAGACCCGGCGGACTGTGTCCTCCAGCTTCATCAATCCGAGTCAGCTCCAAGCACTCCGTCCCTATCGCTTGGCGATCGCTGGGCCCAACGAATCTCCGCTGCACGAACGAACCAAAACAGGAATCGGAACCCCAAGCTGCGCAAACTTGGCCCCAGGCATTGTTCCAGCCGATGCCCACCTTGTTTCAGTAAGGCGTTTAGGGAAGCAACATCTGAACCCACGTCTCTGGCTGGCACTGGTTTCACCACTTGTCATGAAGGCTGCGACTCAGAAGATGGTGCAAATCACATGTCATATCCAATTATTCATAGGCCAACACCACAGCTGATTGGCAAGCCCTGCAAGTAAGAAGTCACTAAATCGAAGCCATTCTTGTCAAGTAGCCTCACGGGTGGTGCCTCGTGAAAATGACAAATACATGAGAACACTCATGAGAACCTATAATGCTTCCACATCCCGTGCTTAAGTTTAAATCTGTCTGTGAGACGCCAGGAACACAGCAATTCGTACACCCTAGGGCCCTGCTTCTTCCCCTAAATTCACTGCCACTTCAGTCACTTCATGACTAGATTACTAGATGGCCATCGAATCCACCTCAAGACACCCCCGAATCCACCCGAGGGTCTGGCATCTGGATAGCAAATCCTGAGTGAATCTCACCAACTGTTTGCCTCACAAACTGAGGGTTTTAAAACTAACCATGCGATTACCGCCTTGGATGATGGGTGGTAAGTAATTGAAAGCCTTCTCTCCAAACAAACTATATAAATAATGATATGTTATTTTTTTACCAACCGTTACTGGATGTTACTGGTACTGGGACACACCCTAGACCAAACTGGATAAGTGGATCACCTGGTCTGAACCATGCAGGCAAAAAAAAAAGGATGCAAATTTGGGCAACATTCCACCCGTCAAAAAAGAGAGCGTCCAAATTCCATGGCTAATCTCACGAGCGTCACTCAAAGCCCAACTTCTTCGACCAAAAGACCTTTCGCCTATGGCAGTCATATACGGATCGACTATTGGATTGGACGCTGACAGATCGACCCTGAACTGTGGATGGGGACCGGCGAAAAGTATCGAACATGCACTCTTTTGCGGCTTAGTTTGCTCTTAGGCTTGCTATTGACATCTATTCTTCTGACTTTTTTGATGAGATCAAGGGGACATAAGGGGGACAAGCTTCAAATCATCTACTTCCAAAAAGGTCTAAAAGACTTATTTCAAGATCTCAATATCCTCTTTTGGGGGGACTGAGAGCAGTCCCAAAAGGATATCTGATTCACCTCGGCCTGGATCGATTGGTCTGATTGTGGCAGGACGTCAGTGATCAAGCTTGCGTGACTCACTTCGAAACAACAGTTGATTCAGGATGGACCCAAATAATAAATCACTGGGCGCATGCCTACACTGGCCTACACATCTCAATTTCAATAGTGCTTGTGAAGCCATCCACCTAAAAGTCAAAGTCCATGCACCAACAATTACTGTAGGATTATGCACGCCCTGGTTCAATCACTCTCTCTTTTCCTTGAACATCAGTCCCACCCACACTCCATGTCTGGGACTGCCATATTTACTATACATTGACCCCAGGTCAACCACCCCTGGCCGTTTTGAAGGCAGTCCGTCCTGGCAGCCCAGACGTGTCGTGTCTGGGAGAGCTTCTGGAACTAACATGGTTCCGTGGAGAATGACCCCGAAAGGAAGACCATGAAATCCACTACAAACAGATGGTTTTCCACTTCCAAGTTAGTTTTAGGGAGAGTATGTCCCAAACACTCGCGGTCCGAAGGGTCCACCTCTTCACCGAGCTGAGAGCCAGCTCCAAGCGGCGCCAAGGGGAACTCCCTGTATATCGGTTCCTGGAGCCTCCCAAGTCCGGTGGACTCACCTCTAAGAGGCTGTTGATAGACGCCTCTTGGAGGGTCCTGGTTCATAGTTGTTCATCTTCCCGTTTGGGCTCCTGTCCCATTTCCTCAGGTTCGATGGTATTCGACCCCCCGTAAGGCACCTGGGCATCCTGGGCCCACCTTTGACACGAAGGGGGCGGCCAGGAGCCCAAACGGCTAGGGATTGGTTCTCCACGTCTCAGCCCAAGGGCAAACCTCCTGTCCCAAACCATCTTCCTCAGGTTGAAGCGGGGGAACCAACCCTAAACGCTCCATGTATGGTATATATTATGCCATTGACCCCCCTGGCACCACCCCAAAGTAGGCATACCAGGACCCTCCAACAGGTCACCTGCGACCTTTGAATTCTACAAAAGCTTCCAGTTCGGAGACCCGTTGATCGTGGGGGTGCTGGTATGCAGTCCCAGACGTGTCGTGTCTCGTGCTGCTATCGGACCCCAGCTGTTCCACTGGCCAAGCACCCACCCCATCGAAACCCGTTTCATGGCTCGGACAGGAGCCTTAGCCGCCCGACACGTCGTCTGGGCGCCCCCCCCCGGAGATGGCTGAACCACCGTCCAAGCGTCGTGGCCACCGGGCCGTCGCGGGTGCATTTCAGGGGCACCCCTGGACCTGGAGGGTGGAAGGGAGGCTTCAATAGGTGTAGAGTGTAGAGCCAGATGAGGAAGGTGTGGGGTGGAAAAGCTCCAAGGTGCCTTTATTTTAACATGAGCTGTTTTTTTTTGGGGGTTGGCTGTTTGGCTGATTGATGTGAATTGGGTTCAATCGTGAGGATTGATGTGGTTGAAGATGTGGAACTCAACATTTGTTTCACGAGATGGAATCAGGGTTCTCACAACAAACAGTGAACTGGACTGTGAACTCATGACCCCCAAAGTCGCTCAAATCCCCTTGTGGTGCCGAGACATGATCGGGATTGGACCATCCCAGTGAGCCAGAGCCAAGCAGTGCGATCGTGAAAGCAACGGCAGGTGTTCACTCTTCTCATGTATGACGTTCACCAACACTCTTCCACTTATAAGGTATAAATATATATATATATGTATAAATATAGAAATGGTTTACGCCCAAGGCCTGTGCGTGCACCTCAACGTTCAAAAGAACTTCTGGCACGTAAGGTTCCGGAACCAATCCTTGAAGCTTCGACCCTTTGGGTGGGAAGCTCCTCAGCCCACTCACGATCTGATCAGTGGCACGGTGGAAGACATGCATCGACGCCGAAACTTTGCATCGAGGCCGCATGTCAACACCAGTGCAAAGCATGACATGGTGGAACATGACAAAGCCTAGGGATCCAAGTACCTTCTCAGAAGGTGTTTGGAGACACTGTTATGTAGGCCTTTTTCGGAGGTAGTGAGATGCACAAGTGTTAAGGGGTGGGCGGATTTTTCCCTAGGGCTCCAACCATATCCTCAGAAGATGGTTAGACCCCCCCAAACCCACCTTAACCACCTTCTCAGGAGGTAGTTGGAGCCCTAGAGGGAAAGTACCCCAAAGTGGACGCCAGGGTCGGCAACATGCAGTTCACCATGAGAAGAACAACGGTTTCCATGTCCACCGCAATCGACTTCGTTTCAACCACTGGGCCCTCTTCGGTGCTCAAGGTCCGAACTGCTCGGTTGGGGTCACAAGCATGTTTATGTGGCAGCTAGGGAGTAGCAATGGTTTTAGTGAGAGGCCCAAACAGAAGCGTACTTGTCCTCCTGTGCTTGGCAGCCATGCTTAGCCCGCTGGATTTGTTCCATACCATGTTGATAGCTTGATACACCATGTGACGCCATGCAGCTTTTTCCACTTGATACACCATGCAGCTGGAGAACCTGGCTTTTAAACCACGTTTCCAGAGTCCGCCCAGGTCTACCAGGCCGCCCCGCCCACCCCACCGACACCCACCCCGCCAACCCGACCTCGACGACTGGTCACGACCCTGTGGCCCCGGGCTGACTTCCAGGTCGGGCACACCCTCTAAGTCCAGTGCATCCATCAAGTGGAAGAGGTTCACACAAAGGTGCTGCAGGTTCGCAGAAGCGCGGCGGAAGACGAGAAGCGTTGCACACATTCGAAGTTCTCTGCTTTTGGGGGAGGCTTGCGGAACTGGCAACAGAAGCTCCAGAAGACAACTGTTAGACTGAAGAGATCCCAGCACGGAGCCACTTCGACACACTTCTTGAATGATTTTGAGTTAAGCAACAAGCTGATTTCTTGAGAACATCTGGGCCAAACAGTCAGGGGGGGTGCCAGTAAATCGCCAGCGGCATCCCGCCTGTAAATCGCTGTGGAGCATGAAGTAGGTGAAGAAACGCCTAACAACGCAATGTGTTGTAATTAGACTCCTAACAGCGCTGCACGCGCATACCGGATACCTACTAAACAAATCAGCACCAGGAGAAGTTGCCCAAAGTCGACTATGTGACGATCCTCACTGGTCACAGCCCATTGATATGCCTGAACATGTGGTGGTGCTACGTCGTCGCCCCTAAACCCTACGAACACATGGAGTACTTCAACGAAAAGGCTGACCCCCTTCAGTTTCCCTGGCAAATCAAAGGTTCACCGAGCTTTCCACCTGTTCCCATCTGCCATGGAACTTCAGTTTCCCCAATCCCAATCTCCCATCCAAGCATGATCCACTGAACTCCTGGGGTAGGTCTAAGGAACTGTCATATTGTATACTCCCAAGGGATCCAGCCGTACGGAACCTCACAGGGTACGACTGGATTCTCCTGGCACTGAGCCAGTGTCGAACACATCACCGTACCTGAGAAGGCGCCTGGATCCCGCACGTGGCTGTATACTGTATACATCTGTACACAATACATGTAGAAATATGTAGAATTCAAACTCTCCCGACAGACTGATATTGGAGAATGTACCCATGGTTGGTGACCATGTTCCCAACCCGACGTGGTTAACCCTACGGATCCAAGTACCGAACCTCAGAAGGTACGACTGGACCTTCCAAACCTACATCACAGTGCCACCAATCACCGTACCTGAGGTTTGGTACGAAAACGGATCCCTAGGGTCACAGGCTTCCGGTTCCGGTACACGGAGCCCCTGAACTCGGTTTTGGCAAGGTGAGAACGCCGTCGGTTCTGGGCACGTCCCGGCCAGAACTCGCCCTTCTTCATGCCTTGGGATGTGGTGGAGAGGCGGCGGCTAGGCTCTGAAGGGACGGACACCATCAACCGAGCCTGGGGCACTGGGGTGAGCTTTTGGATCTACAAATCACCTAGGCGCCGGACTTCCAACAAACAATCAACCTGTCAGAGTCTGAGCTCGAGCTTCTGGATCTACGAATCACCTATAAAATACCATGGACTCCAACTTCCTATGAAACATGGAGTCATGTTTGGGCTGTAGGGCAGGCAGCACTCCACTCCCTCTTGGAGGAGTCGAAAATCACTGGCCAATACTTTTCCCAGCACCCCTCTCCCTCCAAAGGAAGTGGAAAAAACATCTCCTGATTGTAGAGATGGATCACTCTTCCCCTGAATCCTTTGCCATCATTCCTCATCCCTGTATATTGTTTCAATCATCCCAAATCCTTAAGGGTGCACTTGTCGACGGAATCGTCCCTTCTCGACTCCACTGTCTGGCCCCTCGCGATTCACTCTCCAATGCATGGCTGCATGGCGCATGGCTACACCCACCATCGACGTCAAGCCATGACACATGGGGCGTAGAAGGAGAAGAATCGATCCAGTCGCAGGAACGGTGCAAAGACCTGGCAGAAATACCTGGCGGCGGAAGCCTTGGTGAACAAGCCGTGTTTTTTGGTGCAAGGAAAAGGAACACCGCGGAAGCTTCGTTCTAAAAAGTTTCTTGTCACAAAGTGTCAAAGACATACTCAAAAGCTTCTTGCTACTACAGGTGAAACATGGTGAAACGATTCCCAAGGAAGCTTCCTTCTAAAAAAGAGGCCTTGTTTGGTCCCCAAGAGTCCTTGTGAGTCCTTTTTGGCCTCTCATTATATGGTGCTTCGAGCATCCCCAAGACCGCGCAAGTGCAAGTCACCAGCCTACGACCTCGGTCTTTCGCCCTTTGTTTCATGGGTGTAAGGGCTCCAGGGGGGTGGGGTGCCAGGGGGTCTAACCACCTTCTCCTGAGGATATGGGACAGGAGCCCACACAAGAGGATCCAAAAGATGCCAGGGCCTAGCTGACGAGCTGTCAGACTGCCCCCACGGCAAAACTAGGGAAGTTGAAGCTAAGCTGAGGAGAAGTGTCTCATATTCCCAGAAAGCCAAGTGAAAAGGCTAATACTCTGCATCGATTTCAAGGAACTGGCTCGAGGAACTGAGTCATGCGCCCTTTTTGCAAGTTGACTCTCCAGAATGACCGCCACAAACAGAAAGGAAATGAAAGGAAGCAATTTGGCAGCATGAACATTGACATCGGAAACGTTGTTTCCCTATCTCAGACTTTTCACTTCTAGCTTGACTTGATGACACCTGCAAAACTGTCCCATCGACTAGGACAAACAGGGGCGAACACTACTGAACATGACTAAACAAAAGAGCCCCTTTTCATCTGAAAACCGCTTCCACCAATCACCTTCCCCACACACGACCAACTTGCAGAAATGAATCAACTAACATGTGCTAAGACTTCCCATGTTTTCATATCCGTTTCATGCGGACCTCCACCAGTCCACTGCTTCAAAAACGTCCGCTCCCCACACGGGGGGGCGCCCGAGAATGCACAGCGCCACGAAGATTGTCAGCGCTCGATCCCCGTCGCAGACCTCATCGCCGTGGCGGTTCGTCGCGGTTCGTGACGAGCGCAGGTCTGGAGGTCTGGAACACTGCAAGCTGCTGAGGCAAATGGCTACCCACCAAACCCTCACAGTTCAAAGCATCGCACCCCATGTAACTCCTGCACTTCCAAATGTTCAAGCTCACTCCCTAAGGGTCCAGGACAATCCTGAGGATGTCCTTTGACCCTCCAAGACCATTCTCAGGAGGTACCTGGACCCGGGTTCAAGCTCACTGGGTGTGGAGGGCATCCTTGAAGAACCGGGTGTGTTTTAGAGCTCATGCACCCACCCGAACTCTGCGCAGGAAAGGACTGAGCAATCACAGGAGTTACTCGACTGTACCACATCGTTTTCCGCGGAAAACCCAACACTTCGCCTGCCAGAAGGAATTCGGCCAGTCCATGAAGGACCACAGCAACGGCAGCATCCAGAACATGGCTCGCTGACCTGCACGTGAGGGCATGCGTGGGAGCATTCACAGTCCCTATGGCAGAACTGACTGACCCACAAAATTGGCAACGACAAGCCTTCACTAAAAATTGCCAAATAAATATTCATTTAGAGGTTGCTCTCCAGAATTTCCATCAACAGTCCAACTGGGCTCTGAGCTTCAATTACACCAAGCAAGGTACCGCCATGCGCTCGGGAATCACATGTCCGACTGGAAATGCGAAGGTCCAAATCTGTGAGTTCTGTATCGTAAGATAGCTGCAAGAACTCCATGCCAGCAGTCACAAAGGGGTGCTTAATGGAGGTAGTCAGGGTGCCCAGCTACTCCACTCACTGGATGGGACTAAACTCCACCCCTTTGTGACTCCTGGTGGATGTCTTTTTGGTGAGCAGAACACCTCTTTGGGCGACATATTTGCCTCCAAACACATGGGATCTTCAACATCTTGCAAATCAAAGACAAACCCTTCAAGTACCAGATTCCCTGATCCTAAATGGATCCACATACCCTCCGAGGTGATGTGTTCGACACTTTGATGTAGGTTTTGAGGGTCCAGCCGTACCGAACCCGAGAACAACATGTGGATCTGTAGGTGATTTTCAGTCCAACGAGACTCGCGCGTCTCGTCCCTACCGTCGACGTGAGTCTTCATTCAGCCCAAACTCAGTCTGTGTGGGTGCAGGAAATCCTCAAGCCCACAGTGCAGGGAAGAAACATCGTGGATAAATGCTGGAACCTGTGGTTGCCAGAACACGCACCGATTCCTCGATTTCCATGGTGTCAACCGAAAACATGGCTTGTGATGGTTTGTGGATGGTTGTAGGATCGCGCATCCGCTGGTCCCGTGTCCCTTTGCGGATACCGCTGGGCCACGCCCGCCATGCCCGCCTGTATCCATTCCTAGTGCACGGCCCTCACCGACGGCAGCGCATGTCCAACACTTCTCACCAGATTTGGTCCTCGGAGCGAAGGGACCACCGGCTGATATCCAAGGCGAAAATGGACACTGATACCGGCAAACGAAAGCTAGGCCTTGTTGCTACGTGGCTAAAATTGATCACTTCACACCTAGAAAACAAGATGGAGCCCACGAACCCGAATGCAAACACGTTCGAAAAGCTACATATGTCCAAATGACACTCTTGTAGGACACTCTTGTGGGACAATCTTGTGGATCACTCTTGTAGGAAACTCTTGTGGGACACTCTTACGGGACACTCTTGTGGGACACTCTTGTGGGACACTCTAGTAGGAAACTCTTGTGGGACACTCTTGTAGGACACTCTTGTGGGATACTCCTGTAGGACACTCTTGTGGGACACTCTTGTAGGAAGCTCTTGTGGGACACTCTTGTAGGACACTCTTGTGGGACACTGTTGCGGGACGCTCTTGTGGGACACTCTTAAGGGACACTCTTGTGAGACACTCTTGCGGGACACTGTTGCGGGACACTCTTGTGGGACACTCCTGTGGCTAACTCATTTGGGACACTCTTGTGGGACACTCTTGTGGACACTCTTGCAGGACACTCTTGTGGGACACTCTTGCAGGACACTCTTGTGGGACACTCTTGTGGGACACTCTTGTGGGACACTCTTGTGGGACACACTCTTGTAGGACACTCTTGTGGGACACTCTTGTGGGACACTCTTGTGGGACACACTCTTGTAGGAAACTCTTGTGGGACACTCTTGTAGGACACTCTTGTGGG